AGCCAGGTGGGGCGGCGCGGGGGCGCGGAGGGGCGGCCGAGGCCGAGGCCGCGGGGAGGGCCGTCCTGCCGTGGCCCCGCCTCCGCGGCCTCCCTGCCCGCGCCGGCCCGGTTCCTGCCGCGCACTGGGCCGGTCCGGAGCCAGGGGCGCAGCCAAGCGCCGCGGTCGGCAGGGCCGGCGGGGGGTGGGGGTCCCACGGCAACGGGGCGGCCGGGCGGCGCGGGCGCGGAGCAGGCAGAAGCCGACTCCGCGGGGCCCCGAAACACTGGAGCTGGAAGGGGCCTGCGAGGCCTCCCCGCTCAGCGCAGGCCCGCACGTTGAAGCGCCCCTGGCGGGGCGGCCCTGCTGCCTCTCGGACGCCTCCGGAGCGGAGGAGGCCTCCGTCCCCCGTGCGGATCTGGCCAGCTGGAAGCGCTCCCTGCCTTCCAGAGCAGCCACCGTTTGCTTGAGGATGCGCCTGTAAAGGTCGCAAAGATATACCTGGTTCAAAATGCAGCGCCGTGATTGACTGAGGCAAGCTGCAGAGAACACAAGGCTGATCAACACAAATAGTTTAACTGGCTGCTTGTTGGTTTCTAGGGGCAAATCAAAGTGCTGGAACTACCTTTCTTTAAATATAGAAGCAGAGCGAGTCAGAAGGGGGCTCCCAGGCCATCTAGTCTGACCCCCAGCTCCAGCCGGCTCTGCTCACGGCATGCCCACCATGTGCATGTCTAGCCTATCCTTGGACACCCTCACAGATGGGGCCTCAACCACCTCCTGTGGAAGCCCATTCCATACCCTCGCGGTCCCAACTGTCAGGAATTGCTTCCTGGCATCCAAATTGAACCTTGCTTCCTTGAGTTTTGTTCTGTTGCAGCGTGTCCTGCCTTCCTCTGCAGGGGAGAACATGTCTCTACCCACCTCCGTGTGACACCCCCTCATTTACCTGTATGTTGTCAACAGATCCCCTCTGAGTCTCCTCCAGGCTGAAGAGACCCAGTTCCCTCAGTCTTGCCTCATACGGCATCCCCTGCAAACCGGCCACCAACCTTGTGGCCCTGCGCTGCACTGACTCTAACCTGGCTATATCCTTTCTGTAACAAGGAGCCCAAAACTGAACACAATACTCCAGTTGCGGGCGCACCAGTGTCCTACAGAGTGGTAGTAATACCTCTCTTGATCTAGAAGCCACACTTCTGGCTATGCAACCAGTCAACCAGCACCCCAAGGTCCCTTTCACAAGTGCAGCTCTCCAGCCACTTGTCCCCTCACCTGCACTTATGACACCCATTCCTATGCCCCAAGTGCAAGACCTTGCACTTGTCCATACTGAACGCCATCCTGTTGTCTCCTGCCCGCTTCCATAGTCTGTCCAGATCCTTTTGAATCTGGAGTACCTGCTCCTCATTTGTGGCCACCACCCCAGTTTTAGTATCATCTGCGAATTTGATCAGCAGACTGTTCACCCCTTCTTCCATGTTGCTGATGAAAAGATTAAGCAGGAGCGGCCCCAGGACAGAGCCCTGGGGGACCCCGCTTGTCACTGGCCGCCATCCTGATGATTCCCCACTAATGGTTATCCTCTGATTTCAGTCAGCCAGCCATGCCCTAATCTATCAGACAGTGCTCTGTTGTATCCCAAAACTCCTCAGTTTCTCAACCAGGATATCATGGGGCACTTTGTCAAAGGCCTTGCTGAAATCCAGAAAAACCACATCCATCCAGATGCATCCCCTCCATCTAGCCACCTCAAAACCTTGCATAGAATTCCACTAGGTTTGTCTGGCAGGACCTGTTTTTGCGGAAATCATGTTGTGTGGCCGCCAGCCTCCCTTCCCTATCTATCATCACTAGATCTCTCGCTATTATGAGCCTTTCCATTATTTTTCCTGCAATGGACGTATGGTTAACTGGTCTGTAATTCCCCATGACTTTTCTACTACCCTTTTCAAAAATTGGGACCACTGATGCCACCCTCCAGTCCTCTGGAACTTCACCTGTTCATGAGGCCTCAAAAATGGAGGCCAGCGGGCGTGAGAGAGCCCCTGCCAACTCTCTAAGTACTCTCAGGTGTAACCTGTCAGCGCCCGGCACCTTTGTAATGTCCAATGCTCTGAGGAGCCCCTTGACTACTAGGGGGGTGACTCTAATCTGTGCCCCTAAGTCCCCAGCCTCATCTAATCTCCCAAGCGGATCTCCCCCTTCCTGCTTTGGGGAGAACACAGAAGCAAAATAGTCATTAAATCCTTAAATTATCTGTGTGCAGGTTATCAAAAGGACTGCTTTCTTTTGTATGGACCCAACTCCTGCCACAAGCCGAGCTGCTCCTGATAGAGGAGAGCTGGGCTCAGGTGGACTCAGGGTTAGGGCCTCAGATAATTCCCTGGGGTCTAACTCCAGGTCCCTTTGCCCTTTGAATCACACCATGGAACTTCCCAAATAGGGCTTTTTTCCACTGTGGAACCGAAGCTTTGGAATGTCCACCTGACGTTGACTCAGGCCACCTGTTCCAGCATTTTGACATCAGATCAAGACTAATGTTCAAAAAGCTTTGGGGGTGGTACATTGACCTGTTTTCTAGTTTTCTTGCTGGTTTTTGTTTTGCTAAATGCTGCCACCAAATGTAATTTATTTATTATTGGTTAACAGATTTGTGCATTCAATTTTATTATACTTTTGATTGTTAGCCATTCAACAGAGCCTTTGGGATTCACGGGTGGTATAAACATCATTAGTATGATAGTCACATACATTTCAAATATGTAGGTAAAGATATATCACTCTAAAATAAAAACTCACCCACTTGGCAGTAGGACAGACACTCTTAGGTACTTTTTTCCTTCTCTACCCATATATACCACTGCTGCTATTCTTACAGTACTCCTTTTGCTCTGTACAGAGAGCGATTATTTTAATCACCAGTACGGCTGGTGAGTCATCATTCCAAATTCTTTCTATACACCAGAATTCAGATGGGTTTTCTAATGAATATTCCTTTATCCTAAAAACAAAAACAAAACCCAAAAAACCAAAACCCCCTCATAGAATCCTAGAAGAGTAGATTTGAGAAGGGGCCAAGGGGCCATTAGGTCCAACCACCTGTTCAGTACAGGACTCCAAGCTAAACCATGGCTGTCCAGTTGCATCTTAAATGCCTCCAGCGTGGAAGAGCCCACAACCTCCCTGGGGCATTGGTTCCTTCCCATTCTCCTGTATGTTTACATGGCCTTTCTTCTAGGCAGAGGATTTCATGTGAGTTTTCTTCTAAATCACACCCCACAGTCCATGGGTGTGTCTGGCATATACCCAAATACAAATGCACATATAATTTTTGATTCTTGTAAAAAATCTTACTTATAACCAGAACACTTCTGGGGCTTTGCACAGCATGAATTCCTTGATGACTGTTAAGCCCTCCTTCCAACATATTTAGAGATTTTCTACTAATTCTACCTTAGCTAAATTATGTCCAAGGCAGCCTTTCCATAAGCTGTGTGCTCAGCTTTAAACGCCTTTCATATTCCAGGCACCTAAATAGTTTTTCCTATCGTAAGCTCAAAAATGGGGTCAGACTGCTCTGTGGGAGGTGTTAACCAAGGAAAGCTCTGGGCAAGAGAACACAGATTTTGTCAGACCCAGTTTCTGCAGATACATCTGAGTGTGGTCGATTAGTAGTCACAGCTGGGCCTTCCTCCTCATAAGCAGACCCATGTTCCTGAGTAGACACATGCTCAGGAAGTATTCCCTGGATGAAAGGGGATTCTAGGAGTCAGGTGGACACTCCCACCGTGGCTCTGAGTATCCCACCTGATACACTGCCACTGCTGCTCTGCTGAGCTGTGAGTGGAGGAAGGAGAGCTTGGAATCATGAGTGGGCTCAAGGCAGATTTGAAAGGGCTGCTGGGAATGTTAGATGAGGCACTGCTGATGAGGAATCTCTCTTGTTGCCTCAGGTCAACTGTAGGAATGGGTTGTTCTAGGGGATCAGGGTGCTCCTCTTCTGAAGAGGTATCTGTGTGTGTTTTTTGATGTAATGTAAGATACTCCCCTCGTTCAAAGCTCTTTCCACACTTCAAGCATTTAAATGGTTTCTCCCCTCTGTGTGTTCTTTGATGTAATGAAAGTGATGGTCTGAGAATGAAGTTCTTTCCACACTCCAGGCACTGATATGGTTTCTCTCCTGTATGAATTCCCTGGTGGGAAATAAGGGCATACTTCTGGCTAAAGGTATGCCAGACTTTTTCCACAGTCAAGACACTGAAATGTGTTGTTTTCTGTGTGAATTCTCTGGTGACTCTTAAGACTCATCCCGAGATGGAAGCTCTTTCTGCACTGCAAACATTCAAATGGTTTCTCTCCTGTGTGAATTCTCTGGTGACTCTTAAGACTCAACTCGAGATGGAAGCTCTTTCCACACTGCAAACATTCAAATGGTTTCTCTCCTGTGTGAATTCTCTGGTGGGAAATAAGGGCAGCCTTCTGCCTAAAGTTTTTTCCACAGTCAAGACACTGATTCTTTTCTGTGTGAATTCTCTGGTGACTCTTAAGACTTATCTTGAGACAGTAGCTCTTTCTGCACTGCAAACATTCAAATGGTTTCTCTCCTGTGTGAATTCTCTGATGGGATGCAAGGTCGTACCTCTGATGGAAGCTCTTACTACACTCTAGGTACTGAAATCTTTTCCCTCCTGTGTGAGTTCTTTGATGAGAATGAAGTGCTGAGTTGTATCTGAAGCTCTTTCCACATTGTAAACATTCATACGGTTTCTCATCCGTGTGTGTTCTTTGATGAGAAATAAGGAGAGAGGGCTGACTGAAGTTCTTTCCACAATTCAGGCATTTATATGGTTTCTTTCCTGAGTGAGTAGTTTGATGGGAATTAATGTTTGAGGCACTTCGGAAGTGCTTTCCACATTCTGGACATTTAAATGGCTTTTCCCCTGTGTGAGTTCTTTGATGTACTTGAAGGGTACCACTCTGGGAGAAACTCCTTCCGCATTCTAGGCATTTAAATAGTTTCTCCCCTGAGTGAATTCGTTGGTGGCTAGTAAGCGTTCCTTTCTGACTAAATGCTTTTCCACATTCTAGGCAGTCAAATGGTTTCTCCCCTGTGTACGTTCTTTGATGTTCAATAAGTACTCTACTCTCTGGGAAACTCTTTCCACAGTCTAGGCGTTTATATTTTTTCTTCACTCTGTGGGCTTTCAAATTGCCATCATGGGCCGCTTTGTGCAGAACAGTTTTTTCACACACAGGCCTCCGATTCTCTCTCTTCTCTTTGGGTGTTTTTGTTGTCTCAACATTCTCTTCCATATCTTTCCACTTTCCTCAGGCACTTGATGTTCTCCTCTGTTTTCTCACACAACCCTAGCTGAAAGATTAAAAAAAAACAATGTGAGTACAAAAAACGGAATTCACGAACAATTTTGATTTTCCCATCCCTTTGAAGGAAATACCTCTGTTCCCAAACCTAAGCAAATCAGCTCTCTGCATTTGCTAGAATTGTACAGCTTCAGAACCTCTCTTGTTATGAGAAGTACTGACTCAGGCTGATCAAATATATTGGCCTATGAACCACATTTCTAAATAATTATTATTACTGAATATATGATATGCAGCGTCTTAAGCTGGAAAAAAGCAGGGAATTGGATTGTCCTGTTCTACCACAGTCATGGACTGCTGCTTTTGCATTCATCTCGGAAGAGTATTTTCATATTGGATGCTGTAACTTTTTTTAAAAATAAAGGTTGGTTTAAGTCCACTAAGTGCTGTAGGTGTGATATAACCAATGTTTATCTTACCCACATGATTTGGCAATGCTTAATAGTTGCTTCTTGATGTGGGTGAAGGAGGAGAGCACAAAAGTTGAATTGAAACTCAACATTGAGAAGACTAAGATCATAGCATCCGAGTCCTCTCACTTCCTGGCAAATAGATGGGGAAGAAATGGAGGTAGTGACAGATTTTATTTTCCTGGGCTCCAAGATCACCACAGACGGGGACTGCAGCCAAGAAATTAAAAGACGCTTGCTCCTGGGGAGGAAAGCTATGGCAAATCTAGATAGCATACTAAAATGCAGAGACATCACCCTTCCAACAAAAGTGCGTAACGTCAAGGCTATGGTTTTCCCAGTTGCAATGTATGGCTGTGAAAGCTGGACCATAAGGAAGGCCGAGCGCTGAAGAATTGAGGCCTTTGAATTGTGGTGCTGGAGGAGACCCCTGCGAGTCCCTTGGACCACAAGGCGATCAAACCAGTCAGTCCTAGAGGAGATCAACCCGGACTGCTCTTTAGAAGGCCAGATCCTGAAGATGAAACTCAAATACTTGGCCACCTTATGAGAAGGAAGGACTCCCTGGATAAGAGTCTAATGCTGGGAACAATAGATGGCAAAAGAAGAAGGGGACAGCAGAGGATGGGGTGGCTGGATGGAGTCACTGAAGCAGTTGGTGTGAGCTTGGGTGGACTCCGGGGGATGGTGGAGGACAGGAGAGCCTGGAGGAATGTTGTCCATGGGGTCCCGACGGATCGGACAAGACTTTGCGACTAGTAATAACAACAATAGTTGCTTCTTTTGTGGAGGAAGTTATAACATGACAAAAGGTGGGAGTAAATGGCAATTTCTCCCAATGGAAAGATGTCACCACTGGAGTCCCACGGAGTTCTGTATTAGGACCAGTGCTTTTCGGCCTATTCATAAATGATCTGGAATTAGGAGTAAGTAGTGAAGTGGCCAATTTGCTGATGACACGAAACTTTTTAGGGTGGTTAAAACCAAAAGGGACTGTGAGGCACTCCAAAGGGATCTCTTCAGGCTGGGAGAAGGGGCATCAAAAGGGCAGGGGCAGATCAATATAAGCAGGGGCAGAGTCATGCATGGGGCAAAAGATCCCAGCTTCAAGCATATCCATAATGGGAACTGAGCTAGCAGTGACTGAGCAAGAGAGGGTTCTTGGGGTAGAACTTAGGGGCTGGCTCCTTGCTCCGCCCGACTTAACTCCCTGTGTGCTTGGAAAGGAGAGAGGATTCTATGTACTGCCCTGAAAAATAAACATTTTCTTACAGAATGTTTCTGGAGACAATATTGCCCCAAAGGAACAAAACGTTCCATTTGACCACCTCACTTCCCAGTGTACCAACGTTGAGATCCCTTTTCTCCCAAACGGGAGAGACACAACCAAGTGTTGACGATTGTGTTTCTGCATTTTAGCTACTCCCAAAAAACGCTTGGAGTACATCCCCTTTGTAGAAACGTTTGGGTCTTTGTTTCTCCCAAAAGCTGTAAAGATATCTGAAGAATGTATTCAACATTTCCAGTCCAAGGCATTGGCTATGTTTCTCTGCATCAAGATACTCTGTCCTTTTAACATATCTGTTGTGTATTGGGCTCTTCTTCCCCTTGAGTGCTCATTGGAGATGCGGGTCGGTGACAGCCGGCATTGTTCCTGCTTGATTTCAGGCTCGAATTTCTGTGCTGGGGAAGAACACAGATCTGTTTCTGCCAGTACCTTTTACTGCCTTGGACTGTTTCTAAGTGCTGCATCTTGTGGTCTCAAGGAAGAGGACTTCTGCCGGAGCCTCATGCTGCAGAGGTGTGCCTCTGGAGTGCCCATCCTGCAGCGGTCTGTGCCGCTTCCGCCTGCCAGATCCGTGTCAGAAACCCGCTCTTTGGCGCACATGGGTGGGAGGCACAGGGAGCGGAGAAGATGGCCTCGTGTGATTGGGAGGGTGAGGATGCCCTGAAAGAGGAGACCCGTGCAGAGCTGCCTCCTCCCTGCTTCTCCCTGTTGGCACTGCGATACAACTCCCCTAATCCTCAGCTAGCATGGCCAATGGGAGTTGTGGTCCAGCGGCACTGGAGGGTGCCAGATTGGGGAAAGCAACACGGCTATCATATACCACCCACCTGCTCCATATTCACCACAGCCTTATGAATCTTCAGTCTCCCTGCTGAATAAAACTGGGCATTGTATAAATGAACTCAAATCGATATTCTGTGTTTTAAAGCCTTGTTGAGTATTTGACTTTTACTCACCCGGCGTTGGCACAAAAGGTTCATGCGGAAATACTAACCAGACCAGTAATCAGGGCCTCAGATTAAGGGACAGCTTGATTTCTTCCCATTTGGTTGAGAGGTTCAAAGGAGCCCTTGCTTCTTTAATTTGTTTTGCTAAGCTGCAAGTTGTCAGGGCTGCTCACAGGAAAGGTGTGGGCAGATTCCTCTAGTTTTCTCCCCATGAACCATTTTTGTTGTGATGGGCTGTCAAGTCATTTCTGGAATTGCAAAGGTACAGAAGCAAGAAGTGCATCCACAAGGTGAGGCAGAAGAGGAAAACTCTGCGGAAAGAGAAAATGAGGAAACTCCCGGGGAAAGGGTGACAGGTACAGGAGAACTAGATGACACTCTGCACCAGTGGAGAAGTGGGACCCTTGAACTGTTTTATCTGAGGAAGAGAAGAGAGAGAACCCCACTCTGAAAGAACTGTGTGCCATACTGGGTAACTCTGAAAAAAGAGTCAGAAGGTCAATTAAATAAGGAAAAAGATACCAAAGTTTGCAACAAGAGGAGGAGGAGAGTTATAGCTAAGGGAGATTCCCTGTTAGGGGGGTGGAAGAATATGTATGCTGGGAAGACCCCAGGAATTGTCAGGTGTGTGGTCTCCCTGAGCAAAGATCAGTGATATAACTAACAGACCATCAGTGCTCATGCAACCCACTGACACACATCCCTTCCTTCTCATGCATGTGAGAGCTAACGACACTGCCAATAGGAACTTCGAGGAAACTACGTCACACTTTCAAATTTCAAGGAAGGAAATTAAGAGCATTGGGGCCCAGATAGTTTTTGTCTCAATCCTCCCAGTTAGCAGAAGAGGAAAAGATGGGGGGAAATGCTCCATGTTAGTTCCTGGCTGTGAAGGTGGTGCAGCTGTGAGAGATTTAGATTCTGGAACCGTGGACTAAGCTTCCTGGAAGACGGACTGCTGGCAAGTGATGGAGCGCATCTTACAAAGAAAGGGAAAGGATGTACTTGGCTACAGCATGAAGAAGTTCCTCAGGAGGGCTTTAAACTGGATTCTGCAGGGGAGGGAGATGAACACCAGGGTGCGACATCAACTGACAAAGGCTTGTGTACTGCAACAGTGAAAGAACAGTCTCCTGGGCCATCCAGTCTGACCCCCGGCTCCAGCCTGCTCCATTCATGACGTGCCCACCATGTGCATGTCCAGCCTATCCTTAAAGACCCTCATTGCTGGGGCCTCAACCACCTCTCGTGGAAGCCCACCCCACACCCTTGGGGTCCCAACCGTCAGGAAGTCATTCCTGCCATCCACCCTAATCTTGGTTCACTGAGCATTGCTCCATTGGAACACTTCCTGCCCTCCACTGCAGGGGGGAAAAGGTCATGACCCGCCTCTGCAGATGTTTAATCCCAGGATCGTTTATGGATTTGGATTTCTGTAAGTGATGGATCTTGCGGCATGCTACTGGGACTTGCCTGAGACGTGTGTGCAGTGGAGTCTACTGGCCCTGTTGGCCATGTGGCATAGAGATGGCATGAGTGTCCCCTCCCCACTGGCGCCTCTCCTGTCTGGACAGATCCTGCCCTCTTTTCATCCTTTTCTTGGTAGAACGGAAGTTGTTTCTGGCATTTCTGAATGTCTGGTTTCGGTGCCGAATGCCAGAAATAACGTTCATATTTTGTTCTCCCAAAAAGGAAGGCCTTTGATACCTGAATCTGATCTCATCTCCTGTCTTGAGAGAAAAGGGGAGGCCTTGTCCGGGGACACTGACAGGTGGGTTCTTCGCGATACCCCGTTTTCGCTAAGCGTGGCCCTGCTCCCTCCGCCAGCCGGTGGCTTTTCATGGTTCTCTGCTCTGTCCCTCTGAACCAACTGAGGTTTTGAGGTTTTTTGCTCTTCTACAAAACCCTGTAGGGATCCCCTGCATTCCTTACAGCACCACCCCAGAGGTCTTTTGGCACCATTCTACAATCCTTGCCAACCATCAGGTTGCACTTCTGCATTGTGCTCAGTATGGGGTTGATCTTGAAGGAGGTGTGTATGCTGCAGTTGTTGATGATCGCTGCTTCCAGGCTGGTGCGAGAGGTCCTTGTTCAAAGCACATGATGCCAATGTGGTTGGAGGTTCACTAGGAGTGCAGTCGAAGAACCACCGGTCCTCATACCCTGGTAGTCTTTCCTCTGACAGGTAAGATTTCTCCCAGAGAGTGTGGTATAGTCCTGCTCCCAGGGTGAGCCAGGGGCTCATCTCCTCCATGTATCTTTCTTGAGCACAGCTAAACTGGTTTAGAGGGTGCCTATTTGAACATCCTTTTTGAATGTTTGATTTTGTGTATCCACCTTCTTCACCATGGTAAGACCGTGTATAACTTTCAGAAGGAATGGGGCTGAGGCCTTCCTAGTTAGCTCTCAACTTCAGGTGGGTCCTGCTTCTAGTCTTCCTAGTGGAGATAATGTTCAATTAGGTTTAAGAAGCTCTTGTGTTCCCTTCCGAAGAACACGGTCTGGGAAGGGCCTTTCTCCTTCGCACTCACCTTAAGTTTCTCTTTCTCTTTCAGCAGGGACCATGTGGATGAAAACAAGGAGATGGTATGTGAAGCTCCCGAGGAAAGTGACAAGTGACCAGGCATGGAGGAGGATGTTGGGAATCAAGGTGGCATGAACAAGCTGGAGCAAAACGCAAGAACTAAGGAAGAAATCTGTTGCTTGTATGGGTGGTGACTTCCGTGTTAGTCCAGTGCAACAAAAGGCATCCGGTGGTTGGAGGAAAATTTGCTCATAAATCTATCATGGATGATCACTGGGCCAGTGATGGAGCACAGAAGCGATATAAATGCCTGGAGTGTGGAAAGAGCTTCAGTCAGAGCAGGGTACTCATCTCCCATCAGAGAACTCACACAGGGGAGAAACCCTTCGACTGCCTGGAGTGTGGGAAGGCATTTAGTCAGAAGGGGGCACTTACTGTCCACCAAAGAATTCACTCAGGAGAGAAACCATTCAAATGCATGGAATGTGGAAGGAGGTTTTGCCAGAGCGGTGCCCTTCAAGTACATCAAAGAATTCATACAGGGGAAAAACCGTTTCACTGCCTGGAGTGTGGGAAGAGCTTCAGTCAGGCCTCTCTCTTAAATTCCCATCGAATAAGTCACACAGGGGAGAAACCATATAAATGCCTGGAGTGTGGGAAAAGCTTCAGTCAGGGCTGTCTCCTCCAGTCCCATCAAAGAACACATACGGATGAAAAACCCTATGAATGCCTGCAATGTGGAAGAGGCTTCAGATATAAATCTGCTCTTCTTTCCCACCAAAGAATCCACACAGGGGAGAAACCATTTAAATGCCTGGAGTGTGGAAGAAGCTTCAACCGGAAGTATGACCTTACTTTGCATCATGTAATCCACACAGGGGAGAAACCATTTGAATGTTTGCAGTGTGGAAAGAGCTATAGTCACAAGAGAAGCCTTACCAGTCATCTGATAATTCATGCAGAGGAGGACCCATTTAAATGCCTCGAGTGTGGGGAGAGCTTTAGACAGAAGTATGCCCTGGTTTCCCATCAGATAATTCACACAGGACAGAAACCATTCGAATGTTCACACTGTGGCAAGAGCTTCATTCACAGGCAAAGCTTTACTAACCATCAGAGAATTCACACAGGAGAGAAACCATTTAAATGCCTGCAGTGTGAAAAGCGGTTCAGGAGGAAGGACAGCCTTATTTCACATCAGAGAAATCACACCGGAATAAAACCATTTCAGTGTTTGCAGTGTGGCAAAAGCTATCGTCAGAAGAGAAGCCTTACCAGTCACCAGAGAATTCATACGGGAGAGAAACCATTTAAATGTCTGGAGTGTGGAGAGACTTTTAGACGGAAGCATGATCTTGCTTCACATCAGAGAATTCACACAGGAGAGAAACCATTTGAATGTTTGCAGTGTGGAAAGTCTTTCAATCGCAGGGAAAGCCTTACTAGTCATCAGGGAACTCACACAGCAGAGAAACCATTTACATGTCTGCAGTGTGGGAAGAGTTTCAGGCAGAAGGGTGCCCTTAAAGCACATGAAATAATTCATGTTGGAGAAAAATTATACAAATGCCTACAATGTGGCAAGAGGTTCAGGCGCAAGTATGCCCTTGACTCTCACCAAAGCATTCACACAGGAGAGAAACCATATCAGTGCTTGGAGTGTGGAAAGAGCTTCAGTCTGAAACCATCTCTCAGATTACATCAAACCATTCACACAGGGGAAAGACCATATAAATGCTCTGAATGTGGAAAGAGTTTCAGTCGGAAGGCATACCTTGCCTTGCATCAAAAAACTCATACAGGGGAGAAACCATACAAATGCTTGGAGTGTGGAAAGAGCTTCAGTCGAAAACCGTATCTTAAATTTCATAAAAGAACTCACACAGCAGAGAAACCATATAAGTGTTTGGTATGTGGGAAGAGCTTCAGACGAAAGGCATACTTTTCTTTACATCAAAGAATTCACACAGGGGACAAACCATTTAAATGCTTGGAGTGTGGAAAGAGCTTCAGTCGAAGGGAATACCTTGTGTCTCATCAAAGAACTCACAGAGAGACCTCTTCAGAAGAGGAGGAGTCTGATTCTGCAGAAGAGCCACTTCCTACAGTGGGGCTGGAGCAACCCGAGGGATCCTCTGGCAGCAGTGCCTTGCCTGGGGTTCCCAGCAAACCATCGAACACCTTGCTGAGCCCAGCTGTGACTCCAGACTCCCTTTCCACCGCCAATGGCTCCGGACAGCAGCAGTGGCAGTGTATCAGGTGGGACACTGAGAGCCATGATGGAGAAGCCCTCCTGATTCCCCGAATACCCTTTCGCCCACAGCATACGCATGAGTAAGGGGTCACTCAGGAAAAGGGTCTACTTAGAAGGAAGGGTCAGATGCAACTGCTCAAGTAGTTTTAGGATCAAGTTTTAGGTGTGTTGAGTAGAAGCAGATCCTAAGGCAGAATCCACATCTGACTTCACATCAACGAAGTGTCATGGTAGAAATGTTTTTGATGCTTAGGTTTAAATGGAATGGGTTGGTTACATCACAGCAATCTTACTTCTGAGGGAGAATCAGTACAAAGGCTTATAGTGTTGTGAACTCTGTTCTCATGGAATGGGCCCTAATCAACACCTGAGGATTCCCAGTGGGGAAAAGCCAAAAATGTTCTGTTTGCCATAGGATACTTTACAATAAACACAGCTGTTTTGATGCATGGGGATGTGTCTCTCACACAGAGAGATTGTTACACCTGCTTTAGTGAGCAGAAATCCTACTTTAGATGAAACAGTCTGAGTGGAAAACTAATAGTTTCAAAACATAGGATATAATGGGAGGGGGTTTTGTGTAAATGAATGGACTCTGGAGAGGGTGTCAGAAAGAAAATGAAGTAATAGAATGTGGAAGGAAAACACACTTTTCCCCAGAAGGAGTGGAGTTGAACATAACTCAGAGGTTGCAGATAATGCTAAGCTACCCTTGATGCTGGAGGAATCCATTCTGTGGGTGGAGATCTGCTGGATTTCCTGGTCTTGGCTCCCTGGACCTTGGCCTGCGTTCTCTCTGTGCTAAGTCCATCTTGCTTGGAGAGTTTGCATGTGTATCCAGCAGGAAGCAAGTTCCCCCCTGCCTGTGCATAGATTGGGCAACTGACGTTCCACTTCCAGACATGCACATGGTGGGCGTGGCGTGAGCAGAGCCGGCTGGAGCCAGGGGTCAGACTAGATGGCCCGGGAGACCCCTCCTGACTCGCTCTGTTTCTATGTGACTTGCAGGCTTTGTATACTTTGTGCAAGGAAGCTCAGCTTGTGTCCCTGAGTGTTTGCAGACTTGATCTTGGCCCAGCTCACTTCCTGGCCAGGGCCAAGAGTGGGAATGGAATCCAGCATGTGCGAGAGAGACGGATTCTGCATGGATCTTTGCCTCACTACCCTGGGATATATTTGCCAACATTCAGTATTCCCAAGAAAATATTGGGCAGAGGGTGACTAGGCATGGTTGCGTTTTCCTTTGGGCCTCCTTCCCACGCTCTGCATGTATCCCAGTGTCCCTTGTTTCCACATCCTGGCCCTGCCCTGCTCCAAGTGGCACTGCTTTTGGGGCACTGAATTCACGGCCTTTTCTCTGGAACTTTTGGAGCCCTTCTCAATTAACTGTGGTGGCTGTCCTGAGCTTTGAGGACATAAAAACCCAGTTGGTTACTGAGAACCCCTGGTCATTTTAGTGAAGCTGAAATAATAAATGCTGTCTGAAGTATGACTGTATGTGGTATTTAAATGTATTTTGTTCTCATGTACTATGGTGCTCTGTTTACTTTTATGTAGAATTTTAAGCAATTTTATCTTGTTTTTCATATGTTCCTCACACAAATGTGATGCATTTTACTCAGTTCTGCAGTGGAGAACCCATGTGAATATTTGTTTCGTGGAAAGCACTTGGAAGGACGACTTGCCAGGCACCTTGGTGGTTTCTCTGCCTCCCTATTTTTTCCTATTTGGCTTCCTTCTGCTTCTGTCCAGTTGCTTCAACTCCACTGATGGAAGGCCTGATCTCCATTGATCTGGCAAAGTGAGGGAGCGTATTTTCACAGGACCCTCCTCCCCTCTCGAGCCCCTTGCACCCCCCCCCC